TATATATATATAAAATATGAAAGTACTATAGTATTAAAAAAATAATTATTTTAATATCGATGAATTCTGATAAAATAAATAAAGATCGGTAGACAAACATGGGGACAATACAGTTCGACATTTCCATCCGTTAAATCGATAGTCAGCTATTTTTTTTAAAAAAATGTCCTTTGAATTGAAAAAGGTCTCTTATCGTTTGTTTTCTTGTTTTGATTTTTGAATTTCTTTTCTAATTTTGACTGGCATCAGTGATATTTTGAAAAGCGTCTTTCACTTTTTTCCCTTCAATTCATGACTGTTATGACTTCACTTCAGTTGAATTAAAATGGACATTTTTTGCGACATTCTTTCTCTTCTATTCATGAGAAACGTTTTATTTTTTGCTATGTTTATTTACTTCTCGTAAAAAGCTGTTGTGCAATATGAGGTAATTAAGTTTTCTCTGCAAACTGCGAAGCATGAATTTCGCTTTCCATAATGAATCTTATAAGTTTTATTTATTACTCGTATTTATTCTGAGAAAAATAGATCGAATACAGCTAAGATTACATTCCTTCACGCCGTATTTTTAGGAAAATTTTCTCTTGATATACTTACATTCTACTTTCATTGCAGCTAAGTTTAAGTTGAATATTCAAAGGGAAGATTAATTTGCAAGCTATTCAAAGCCATAATTATTTTTTAAATGCATTCAACATCATATGTTTTTAAATTTACCTTTAAATAGGTCTTGAATGTATAAATAAAGAAAGCTTTTAAATAAACTTTTATTTAAAAATTATTTAAAAAAATGTTATAAATATCTTTAATTACATACATCATGGTTATGAATCCTATTTTATTAACATTTACTTAATTAAACTAAATGAAATTGATTTTCAAATCAATTTTTCTCTACAAGTAGAGAACTACAAAGAATTTCTGTTAGAACATAATTAGTTTACATTCCAAAAGTAACATACTGGTTTATTGTAGCATGAAAAAAAAATCTACACGATTTTCTTTCATGTATGAAGCACCTCTCTTCGGTACTGAGCTAAACTACGTCATAGACGATTTTATCGTGTTCTTTTTTTGTTACAATTAAATTTGTTAAACTCTTTGAATTGTTTAGTTGTTCTTATTTTAATTCTGTAAATTGCTTGTGTGTTTTTCATAATATGCATTTAAATATCATTGCTTAAATATGCATTAAATATGCTTATTTAATATGCAGTAAATCTAACGACGTGTAACTTAGATAATGTAATATAAAAGTTTTTACACATTTATATATGCGATATTTTAATTTTGAATTAATTTTTACAACATGTAATGAAATGAAATAAGCAACGTGTAACTAAAATAGAGGTACTTCAAACTCTTATAAGCAAATAATTTATAAAATATATTTCTGTCTTCGTGTCATTTTAAATTATAATCAAATTATGGATAAACGTTAGATATTTATTAAATAAACTAAATAAATAAAAGAAGCGCGTAGTGACGTGTAACAAGATCAGTGAGAACACATGATTCATCTAGTATGAAACACATGATTCATTTTCGATACAGTACTAAAAAAAAAAAAAAAAAAAAAACTGAACATCCAAAATAACTTTTGATCTAATGATCGGATCTTCACGCTCTAGACTTTTATATTAATGGTTCGAGAATGTGACCCTAAGTATTCTAATTTATTAGTGCAGAAACACGATTTTTTTCAAAATAATAGGGTGGAAAATGCAAAAAGTGAAATTGACATTAAGGGTGTCTAAATTTTAGACCACCCTTCTGGCTGTATTATTGAGACCCTCTTTCCTCAATTGCCGCTACCCCCTATATTTTTGGGTGTCAGAAATCTAAATCTGTCGAAAAAAAGGTATGTTTATTCAGAGAAAGTATGTTTTTGCGTCTGGTTTCGTAATTTAAAATGATTATCTTCTGCACTATTTAATTCGAATACTTGGAGCATTCATTCAAACCATTAAGTTCGAGTTACAGAACGTGAAGATCTGATCATTAGATTAAAAGTTATTCAGGGTGGTCGGCTTTTTAATTTCGGCCATTTTACATTCAATTTGAATGAAATTTAGTGATCATATTGCTAGATCTGCCTAAATAAGTTGAACAAAACTTTTGGTAGAGGATATGAAATTTGCTGTAATTAGAGGACGTTGATCGGATGGTCTAGTTTGAAAGCAAATTATCATTAAAAAAAATTGAGCTTCACAACAAATCTGGCTTATGACTATTTGTCGACTGCATTTAATTTTAATTCTTGCTATGCAAATTTTACTGGGATGAAAATTTTTTCGATTTTTTGGGAAAGTATTTTTAGAGTCACTGTAACTTGAAGTAATAAGCAGTACCAAATATTTATATTTAAACTTTTTTAAATCCCTATAACTTCAGGTTTCCTGAATCAGTTTTTATTTATAAAGAATTTTAGGATCAGTAAACCATTATTGACAACCAAAAAGCTGGATTAACGAAAGTTAAAAGTAACTAAATAACATGGTGAACGTAAAGTTTCAAAAAATAAAATTAAAATCGCAGTTAGATACACAGTGCGCAAAGCAAAAAACTGTTTTTTCGATATTTTTTAAAAATTTGATTGTGAAATAACTATTTAACGGATTTTGCTCAAATGTTGCATTTTACCATTTAAAATTGCATTATTTTAAAATGATGTAAATATTTTTATGCCTTACAATTCGAAATTTTTCCACTATTATTAAATAAAATAGTAAATAATGATAAATATTTCTTCTATTGACATGACAGCCCTTTTTGGGATAGAGCTTTCCCTAGAACCCTTCCTCTACTCTGCATTTTTCTCTGCGATTGTTCTCCAATTAGTAATTCTTAGGAGTTTAAAATCCTCTTCGACGCAGTCAAGCCATCTGATCTTAGACCTAACTCTAGTTCCCATTGGTTTGTAATTGAAGATCTTAAATTGAAGATCCCTCTTACAAGGGAAACTAGGGAAGTGTGACTCGCCAATTTTGAAATAAACAAGTGGAATGTATGCCTTATGAGGAATAATTTTAGGGGGCAACATTCGTTTCGGCCCATAGAAGGTCCTGTGAGAGANAAGGTCTATTTATTCAGTACGTTTTTGTGTCTGATTTCGTAACTTAAAATATCATCTGTGCTTATTAATTAGCCAAATTAAGGTCACCCCCTCGACTACTAAGATTGAGTCCTAGAAAGTGAAGATCCGATCATAAGATTAAAAGTTATTTAAGGTGGACCGTTCATTTTATTGCACACTGCACCCTGCTGTACAGATTAGGCAAAAATCGTAATTAGTACTCCTAACTCATTATTATTATTCGTTATCACATTATAGTTTTAAGAATTTTTTTGTAATCTTTAGACTTAGATTTGGAATATGAATTAAATTTAGAATTTGAAGTCTGTAAAAATGGGAAATTTACCCAAAATATGCAAATTATCGCATTCGAATCCGTACCTTCCTATTAGAATAATCCGGAAGGCTTAGAGGAAAGGAAGCACTATTCAAGGAAAAGAGGATGTTCCATGTATTATGTCTACCACTCGCAGCTGTGAATACGATTTTGAAGTGCCTGGAACACGACATTTCGAAGTTAACCAACCCCTTTGAAATCGTCTGAGAGATCGATGAATCGCGTGACGTTCACTGACACCAATAGAAGGAGGGGGTGTTCATCGAACGTGAAAGAATCTCATTAAGTGCAAAAGAATTTGCCCATC